AGGTCAATGGCTCTCACAGAAATAAAATATTGCAAAAACATTCGCCAAGAATTATGTGCTCGAAGAACATTCTATTTGAAATTGATGGTGGTATGTATAAGGAGGAATGTATAAATGTCGACGATTATTTCTGCAAACTTTTGAGCGCAGGAAGTGGAAGAGTTTTTATATTGCGTTCAACCTAGAGAGAACGCGACACAGGATGAACAACCCAGCGGGTTTTCTTCCTATTGGGGAGTGTTGTACATGCTGCTATGGCGGTGTGTCCACTCACAAGATGAGTGGCGCTGCCCAATAAACTCGCCCCTCGGGGCAAAATTTAAAAAAAAAATTAATTTAGGATATATCTGAGAAGTAATGGACTATGAAAGAAAAACTCCTGAGGGTGACACTGAAAGCATTCTTGGGACGACACTGAAGTTTGTTGTTGTTAAAGATTCGCTACTTGGAACTTTTTGTTCCAAGTAGCACGGGCTATGGTGAGCCCGTAGTGCCTTCGACACTGAAGGCTCTCCTGGGAGCAATGGTAAACAGAGCGGAAATACCAATGATACATGACATATTTTCCCTTGAGTGTTCATCGCTTATTACTGTATGATATACACTCACCAAGAGGTGTATATCCCACTTCTCGGTGTATACGATATACTTTCCGACAGGTGTATATCCCACTTCTCGGTGTATACGATATACTTTCCAACAGGTGTATATCCCACTTCTTGGTGTACAGACATGCTGAGAGTATATTTTTGCCTTGTACTTTGGTAATGTTTTAATGTGTATCTGATGATTGTAAACTGGTTGGGATCTTGATAGCATCTCAGGGTTTATAGGAAGAAATATCCACATACCCATCCTGTGAGCGGTAGTTGACCCCATACCTATCCTGTGAGCGGTAGTTGACCCCATACCTATCCTGTGAGCGGTAGTTGACCCCATACCTATCCTGTGAGCGGTAGTGGACCTCATACCCATCCTGTGAGCGGTAGTGGACCTCATACCCATCCTGTGAGCGGTAGTGGACCTCATACCCATCCTGTGAGCGGTAGTGGACCTCATACCCATCCTGTGAGCGGTAGTGGACCTCATACCCATCCTGTGAGCGGTAGTGGACCTCATACCCATCCTGTGAGCGGTAGTGGACCTCATACCCATCCTGTGAGCGGTAGTGGACCTCATACCCACCCTGTGGGCTGTAGTGGACAAGGTTACAGATGCACATAATGGGCTCAGGAACTGAACCCCACAATTCATTTAGCTAACCAAGTTACAGTCTTGATAAGCTAATTAGACAATTTAATTAACTGTTATACCAACAACGGGTTCAAGAACCATCACCAGAACAGTATCTAAGATAAACAAGTTACATATATAGTCAGCTGCTTGACTAATTTGATTTGCTTACTCAGAAGACATAAAGAGAGTTATCATATTGGATCCTCAGTGTCCACATAAACTAGGCTATCTTCCTCTGGCACGTATTTAAGATAACCTGTAAATTAAGTGCAGGTAAGATATCTATGTAAAGCCTAGCTACATATTTCAAAACAGGAAACAGAAAAATACACATTGAACAACGCACCGGTCTTGGTAAACAATTCGTTGTGTAAACTGAGAGAGCAAACAGTATGATAAAAAGTGTAAATAAACTCAAAAGTTGTATTATCATAACACAAAGATATTTTTTGGGGTTGATGCTGGAATTTAGGTCAAGATCACGGCACTAGAGTGATGAAGGATTATTCAACACACAAACCAGGAACTGTGTTGAACACGTAAATAATTTTTTGTTTAGATGCTGTGGTTAAATTATTGTTTGGGTATTCTGTATACAAAAATTCTTCTGAGAGGTGTACCGTACTTCTCGATGTATATCATTAAGAGTTTACTTTTGTCCTGGACTATGATGAGGACTAAAGTGTACTTGTTGGCTGGTCAGTAAGTTATTTTGGTGGACTTAATAACCCTCCAGACGTGCGCTCACTTCAAGAAAGAAATGAATAACAAGGAAAGTGGATAGGCTACCAAATGGGTTCGGGAACTTTTAGACAAAAATAGAGAGGCTACCAAATGGGTTCGGGAACTTTTAGACAAAAATAGAGAGGCTACCAAATGGGTTCGGGAACTTTTAGACAAAAATAGAGAGGCTACCAAATGGGTTCGGGAACTTTTAGACAAAAATAGAGAGGCTACCAAATGGGTTCGGGAACTTTTAGACAAAAATAGAGAGGCTACCAAATGGGTTCGGGAACTTTTAGACAAAAATAGAGAGGCTACCAAATGGGTTCGGGAACTTTTAGACAAAAATAGAA